CCTCCTTTCCTTCTCCCAGGGCTTGACGGAGTACTGCTGGCGGCCCGCCGAAGGCGACGACACGGGGTGCGTGCCGGTGGTGTTCGGCAGAGAGTCGCTCTGGAGTCGGATCCGGCGCACTGGGATGCCAAAAGGGTACCCAGACACCACGGCCCCTGGATTCCAGAGGTTTTTTTGCCTATCTCAAGCTAGCAGTTTCGTGTCAAATTTTGGCGCCTCGCTAGGATTTCAAGCACTCCTCAACGGGTTCTTTCTGGGAAGTTCACCGCAGCTGTGGATTTTCAAGGATCTCGGCCCGGCCCTTATGGCGGCTTACCTTGCTAATCGCGTGGTGAACTATGAGAATCGCCCCAAGTTTTGGTTTTCGTTTAGCGTGTCTATCAGCAATGCAACTGTGATTTTGGAAATGTTGATTCCGTCCGTCGTGCCGACGCACCTTCTTATGGCTGCGATTTTAACCTCCACCATCAAGCAGTCGACGTCGTTGATGTATTCAGTCTCCCGTGCGGCCGCTTTACAACACTTTGCCACGCACAATAACTTGTCCGAGCTTACCAGGAAGTTTAATTCGGTTGGCATGGTTACCTACACGGTCTCGACGACGCTAGGGATCGTCTTCTGCGCCTACGTCCCAAGCTTTACGATCCAGCTCATAACGGTGGTGGTGTGCTGCGCGTTGAATTCAGTCCTTGCCCCGGTGATCATGCGTCCAATCGTATTTCGGATTGTCAACTTTAACACAATTCACCTTATTATGCACGCTTACATTACCGAGGGAAAAATTTTAACACCCGATAACGTGTCCGAAAATATCGGCATCCTTATGGTACCAAGAATACTTAATAAACCGTACGAGCATCCCTCTCTTATTTATATTAGCCCCCCTATCGATAAACTTATAATTCGTTCCGACACCCTCGACGAAGATGTCTTGTACGTGGACAGGAATGGGATGTTTATGCTCGCGTTGTGGGAACCCACCAATGCACCCTTGACGATCAGGGAGTGCTGGCACCGTTGGGAGATGCCCTCATTTTTTCGCATTCTACGGTACCGGCTTTTACCGCAATCACTTTTCGTTAAGCGGGCAAAGCGAGGAACGGACACCGTCTTTGGTGGAAAGCGGCTGGCGCTGTTGGTTCACAACAAATGCAGCTCACGCGATCTCATCACCGCGTATCTCATTTTATATACTGCGGTGTTAAGGCACGCAAGGACCGAGTTGGAGCTTCGGAGTTTTATCAAGTCCTGTCATACCGAACAGCGGAAGTGGAGGGAGGAGGCTTTCAGCCTGCGGCAAAACATGCGGCTTGTGAATTGGGATGTGGACCTTCCGGCGATCGATCACCCGCATTTTCGTCTTTCCGAGATGATTGTGCCATTGTCGATGCGGGAGGGTGATTTTAATTTATGAAAAAGGATAATTTAATATGAAAGAGGAAAAACATTCAAGGATTTTAATTTTACATCAGCGGTACCAGTGTACTTTATTTTTATCGTATCCATTTTTTTTTATGAACCTACTCGATTAGTTTAAGGGCAGCGCTCCCTTACCGGAGGCAATTTTTGACTCTTTATTCAAAAAGTTGCGAATTATTTTATTTATTATTTTATGGGTTATTTCTGCACGCTAAAAAAGGACTTAATCATGATATTATTATTATTATTATGCAAACTACAATTTTGTGCGCTTGAATCAGTATAGACACCACTAATGCGTGTGCGCTTAGGTACAAGTAATAGGGCGAGGCCTTAGCCCAGAGCTTCCAGAATAACAAGTTGTGATCTCTAGATTCTTGTCTATGTGCATGACCTTAGGTGTTTTATTTTTGAAGTGTTTGGCAAGATATAACAACTGAAACTGCATGTCAGCAATGTCGAATGAATAACATTAATTTGAATCTCTGAAATGAGATTGCGAGATCCCTTATTCCAACTTCAAAAAACTTATCGAATAGATCTTTTCCCATCTATTGTGGTTGATACTCATACTCATCTATCTATATTGGTTCATAGATAATCCCATTCAAACTACTAGTATACATACATATAATCAAATATTATACATTATTGATTTATTAGCTATTGTATACATTCAGGCATTTTTTAAATTTTATTTTATTATTATTTAGTGTATTTGATTTCTGGTGTTCTCTTTGTTACCAAACCGTCGTCGTCCCCCCTAGCCCGAGGTGATTTTCTCGTGGCAATTTATTGTGGTTTCCGATCTTTCTCCCCGATGTCTCTGATTGTTCTTCCGTTCGAGGACTACTATAATGAGCTGATCTCCCGCCCTTACACGATCGACGAGGCGCTTTTGGACGTCCAGCGCGGGGAGACCTGCGCGCGCGAGCGGATTCAGGAGGACGCCGATGCCGACTTTGCCGACATGCTCCACATCGCGGGGGTGTGGATTGGGGATAAGAAGTACTACCAGAGCGGCAACGTCCCCTGGATGAGCCGCCATGCCCTGGTGTTGTACAAAAAACAGCGCGAGGTGTGGTTTCCCGCGACCCTCCCCATTTCCGTCCAGCCGGGCAAACGGCAGGGCTTCCCTCACACCGCCTTTCGCAAGCTCTGCGAGGAGGAGAACGAGATTCGGATTTGGTTTCACTGCATCGAGGACAAACTCCGCGAGCGTCTTGCCAAGGCCAGTACAGAGTCCTTTTATCTTCTCGTCTGTTTTGACCAGCTCTACGCAAAGGAAGCGCAGGGCGAGACCCGGATTCACCGCGAGGAGCTCGAGGAGCGGACGGCCCTGCGCAAGCGCTATTTCCTGACCGCCCCGCCGGACTTCTTCCGGCAGCTCGTGATCCAGCGCTACGGGGTGACCAACCCCCGCCGGACCATTGTCGACCGCGAGCTCACCTTCGACGAGATGGAGGCCGAGGATCGCGACCTGATCGAACAGGAGGAGTTCCGCAGCCGCTCTGAGCTCTTTAAAATCCTCCACGAGGCCTACCAAACGCAGCTTTTCATAGTCAACCACCTCGAGGTCGTCGCGCGACAGCTGATTGTAGATCTCGCGCAGGAGGTGATGTACCCTGTCTTGGCGGAATGCTGTCGGGAGTCTTTTTCCTATACCTTCTACCACATCCCCGCGACTTTTCTCCACGTCTTTCCCCAAAATCGCTTTGCCGTCTTCCAGGAGCTTTGCTTGGAGCGGGCGGATCAAATCACGGAGCGCGCGAAGATCCCGGTCTTTCCAGAATATGAACTTCCTCTCAAAATAACGGAGCCGTCGACCGAGGAGAGTTCCATCAATGAGTTGGAAGTCCCGCTGGAGACGGAGAAGCCCATCGTTGACGTCGTCCAAGACGAATCCAGCAACGCGCAAAGAAAAGAGTCCGGGGAGGTTTCCTCGATTTACACGGTCAACGAGCCGACGAGCGGGCGAGGGAAGCATTCTTTGCACACCGTAAGGTTCTCCTGCGAGGACGATGTCGATGAGCCACCGCAAGAGCGGCCCTCTCTTTCTCATTCCGAGCATTCCACTAAGAATCTTGAGTTCCTCTCGCAGGGATCCGATAGGATTTCGTCAATGAAGGCGTTTGAATCGAGTCCTCGGCATGAAAAGTAATGTGATTTAAAAAGGGAGAAAATAAAAGGAACATGGGGAATATGGAGGCATTGCGCTTTCTTTTCTAACTTTCCTTTTCCTTTCTTTCTCTTTCTCACTCTGTATGGCATGGATATACTGAGATAAATGGTAATCCTAATTATGAAAGAAAAAAAAAGGGATACCTATTTCAAGTAGGTTCTCTTTTTTTTGAATGAAGAGGAATATTTATGTAATCTTATTTTTTATTTATTGCCTTCTAACTGCGATGTTATTTACCGAGTTATTAGCTTTGATTTTTCCTTCACTGCCTTTTTGTTTTAAATGAAGAAGAATATAAAAAAGCAAAAAGATAAATCCATATTGCAGTAAAAAAAATTAAATGTATGATATGTGAAGGAAAATGACAGGAAAAAATATTTTTTTGCTATTGTTAGAAGGATAATTTGTGTGCTGTTTTTATAAAATATGACCCCAAAATTTATTAGTTTTTCCAGATGCCTAGTTTTAATACTATGTTACATATTTATTTTTTCTATATACTCAAGGAAGATGTTCATATGGAAATACCAATTCTGGCGTTGCTCTGTATTTATGTTTGTTACTTGGTATTTCAAAGTGTTACTACTACATATAGCTATTTGACATCAAGTCTGTTGGTTTCTGGTATCTCATCACATCCTCTTCCCTGCTGCTTTTTTTTTCACCACCTTGTCTATCTTCCCCTTTCATTTCCTTGGTGGCTTCCAACTCTGAATCTGATTTGGGCTTTCTCGATCCCTACACCCAGTATTTGCGATTGCCCATTTTATATTAGGAAGGAACTCTTCCCCCCCCCCCCCTCTTCCACAGAGAGAAAAATACATTTTTTTTTGCCCTTTTCATGATTTTTATCTACACCATCGAGTTCCTTCAGCTGCACCCCCCCAATCTCTTCGACACCTCGCCGGGGCGGGTCGTCTTGGAGTTCACCCGACGCGGCGCCCGCTGCCTCTGTGATGGGGAGACCCCCTCCACCTACCTCGTCCAGTCTTTTTTCCCCACCGATTCATTAATTTTACGCCTCGATGAGGATGGCGATTCGTCCCCCTCAAGGAGGGAGGAAGAAAGGGTGGGGGATTCGCATCAGTCCGACTCCACGCCGCGGGAAAAGGAGGAGGAGGGCAGCATCGTCATCGGCGGCCCTTTAAAGGAAGTGGGGGGGTGTTGGATGCCCCTTCACCGGGATAATCGGGCGAGCTCGCAAGGGGAATCGACCTCCCCGCAGCCTCCCCTGGGATACGGGTATATTATATGGGAGGTGATGCCGTTCTTTGGGGACTTTCCGCCTTTTCAACAAAAAACAGAGACGGTGTTTGCAATCCCCCGCCCGATTCGAAGGTCGAGGGTTCGTTTTTATATCCCCAAGTCTGATGAGTTTTCCTGTAAACGGACCGATCGCCAAGTCGACAGGGCCCTAGCGGGTGAATTGAGGGCTTCTTTACCGGCGGAATTCGCCAAAGCTGAGAAAGAAAAATCTGACGAACGAAATGAAAACATTTTGGAGAATCAAAATAGCGCATGGGAGGGAATCTTGAGGAATAAAAAAGAGGCACCGACTGCTTTGGACGCCTCTCAGTTGTGCACTGACGTGCTTTCGATCGCACCTTTAAATGTTTTCCTTTTAGGGGACCAAACGCAGGTTGATCCAATGCTAAAGTCAGCGTATTCTCCGTCTCCGAAATTTCCTTATATAGTTACGCAAGGGGAGGAGGAGGGTCCCCATCTTGAAGGCGAGATTAGAAACAATAAGAATCCGAAGGTTCCGAATTCAATTCAAACTTTGAACATCACGCAAAATAGCTCGTTTTTAGATTCTATTATTGATAATACCGATAAGGATAGTGAGGGTGATGACAAATTCTCTTTGAAATCAATAGAACTTCAAAAAGAGGATTCCAGTGAGCAGGAAGTCGGCGCCAGGGCTCTTCATCCTGACAGTAGTCATCCTAGCATGCATAATGATTCTGTTATTGAAAAAACAGATTATATTGCGAGTGAAGTAAGAGATAAAGCATCCAGTGAAAATGCGAGCGTATCAACTTTGAGCGCCTCCGAGATGGACGCCCTTGATGCTAAAGGGGCCGTTTTCTATCCTGCGCAAAAGGAAGACTTCAAAGCGAACTATCAGAATTCTTTAATTCAGAACGAAAAAGAAGAAGACAGATGTAGATATATAAATTATTATTCTACGAGCACGCAAGGTCATTTATTATCCAAGTCATATGTTAATCTTTACTTATCGCCTTCTCTGTCTTTAATTGCAAAGCAGAAAGCAACGACAGATTTCAATAACTCTATTGAGATAGATGACAATTTCGCTTTAAATTCCAATAAGTATGATGATTTGACATTATCTACAAGCAATTTCTCACTGAAGTGGTTAGATACCCCGGCGTTAGCGAGTATTTACAATGATTTGTATGTGAAGAAGGAGAGCTTGGAGAAGCAAAAAGAGGGGATGGTTTCACCCTCCAAAAGGGAAGAAAAGGATGTAATTACCATCAGAGGCACCGAGGAGAATAAAAATATCGATGCCATTTCTACAGAAAATCCTGAAAAGTATATTGATTTAGATTATATGCATAAAAATCAGAAGGCGATATTTTCTAGATATAAAAGTGATGTTTTCAGCGCAACAGTGAGAAAACGGGTTTCATTTTGTCAAATGCCATAGAATCTGATTGGAAAAAGCAAATAAACAAATGTAAAACTAATTGATAGGGGAGTATGTCTATAGAATGGTTTAACCGATTTTCATTTATTATACACACTCACTCACACACACACACATATATATATATATATATATATATATATATATGCTGTTATAATTTATACCTTTCATTATTTTTTTTCATTAAATCAAGAATATATTATAGTTTGTGTCCAGAATACCTTAATATTATGCACTTATTACGATGGGTTTACTATTCAACTTAGGAAAAAGATAATTACTTGTATCACATTCCGTCTTTTTTTAATCCTTTTTACGAGTTTTTTCTCCTGTTATTATTTACCAAAGAATCTATGCGGAAGAAGTGGATTGGTTCTTCTTTTATCCCCTCGCTTCGTTGTAGAGTTTCGCTGAATGCTTTCAAAGACGGAAATTTACGACAGGGTAGTCGTTGGATGAGCATGACGTCTTTCCTAACGCGTCCTGCTCTTTCTTTTGTATTATCAGGCCGCCGATGGAATAGTACTCAGACAGGAGCTTCTTCAACAGGGGTATCTTCTTCTTCTTCCTCGGAGGAGCTTATCGAAAAAACGCTTGGGTTGGAAAAGAAACGCGTCAATTCTTTCCTACAATTCATAAGGGGTGAGAAGTCGTCGTTAGTCGATGACGAAAAGGAAGGAGGGGGTGGCGATGGCGATAGTCGTTGGATGGCGACATCTTCGTCGAATTTCACCGAATCCCGCACGAAAGCGACTCCACGTGGTGGAAGGCATTTGAATAAACCCACGCTAGAAGAAAAATGGAGGAAGAAAAGCAAAAAGACAACACATCTTCCGATAAAATCTAAAAATACTGCACAAATGGCGGCAAGAAATAATTCGGATCCATCAAATCAGAGATCAATTCCTTCAGATCGTAGGCGTTCAGTATTTCATCCCATAGAAGAGGCTCTTCAAGATCTTTTTTCTTCTTCTCCACCAGGAGATTGCCCCTACTCTGACTTATATCTTTCACTTCAAACGCTATATCAAAAGCATTTCCAGGAAAAGATGCGCATCCCCCCGTCGATAATGGATTCGATTGCGCCGCCGTCAACGCGGGACTTCGACGCATCACCGCATTCTCTCCAGCAGTCCATAAAAGCGGCGCCACTTTATATGTTGACCATTCTGACATTCTCCTACCGTGAGTGCTTTTTGCGTTTAATCAATTGCCGCCCGCCCGCACCCCATACCACCGACGCCACAATCCCTAATGCCCTTCCCGCGATGCGGGCCCACCTCACGACGCTCCTTGGCCTCCACCAGGCGGCCCCACCGGCCGCCAACCCTCTCCAGCTCTCCTGGAAGGCGGAGGTCCTCATCTGCCTGGTCGAGTGCCTCCCCGACGGGGCCTTGGGAGGTCCCGGCATTGACGATCGCACGGCGTCTTTGGTCTGCGCCCATCTCGAGCGTCTCACGGGGGCCTTCATTGGGGAGGTGGACAGGGTGAACCCCACGGGGGCCTCTGCTGGGGAAGGCCCTTCAGAGGCCCTGGAGGGGGGGGCTCGGCTGTCACAGCTGCGCTTGGCCTGCCGGCCGGCCCGACGCCTCGCGGCCCTGTGGAAGGGAGGGGGTCTAGGGGGCCCTGTGACACAGCGGCACACCGCCCTGTGGGGGGCCCTCACCGCCCATCTCTACTGGCTCACCCAGGCCCTCTCCCCACGGCCTCTTCGGTGCGTGTCCTTAGGGCTGGGGGATCGGACGAGAACGGAGGCTGGGGATTGGGAGCGAAAGGGGTTGGAGGGGGCGGAGAGGCTCTGGGGCATCCTCCTCCCGCTCGCGCAGCCCTGCGCCCTTACTCACCGCACCATCCACGCTACACTGAATATCCCACTCGTCCAGCATTTTGAGATGCTCCGGCGGGGAGGGGCAGGGATGGGGCCGTTTGCGCAGTTTTGGCTCCGCCACCGCTGTTGGGCCGCCTCGCTGGTCCGCGCGTGGACGGTGTTGTTTGACGCGGCCGCCCAATCACGCGGGAGAGGGGGGGAGGGGGGGTTAACCGCCCGCGGGAATTCGTTGTTTTCTCCACCGTTTTCGCCCCAGGCGTGCGCGATCCTTGCGCGGGTAGGGTTGGCGATCGAGGGCGGGCTCGCCTTCGTTGCCGCGGGGGTCCTCGCGCGGGAGTGTGGGGCCCCGCTCGCGATTCCCAACGCTCCCACGTTGGTTTCGTTCGAGAAGGAAACCGAGCGGACCCGATGCCACTTTGCGGAGGGGCTTCGTTTGACTAAATCAGATTTCGCCGGATGGGAGGAGATCGCGCAGGACTGCGCGGTGCTTCGCACGCGGGGGGCGGAGTATATTCGAAACGTTTTCAGTGCCCTCATCCAGGCGGAGCTTGCCGCTCCGCCGACAGCCCGCTTTTCCGCCGGCGATTCGCCACACGGGGGGGAAACCCGCGTGGAGGGGAAAAAAATGACCTCCACGACGCCCTCTCGTCATTTTCTGTCGATGATTCGGAGTAGTTTTTTCCCTCTCATGCGCCGTCATTACCTCCTCACTGGTGGGGGAGGGACCGATGGCGATCGCGCGTTATGGCTACCGTGCTTGGAGGTTTTTCTTCTTTTAAGAAAGATCTCCACGGACTTTGACGAGCCGCTTTTTTTGCCTTCGACAAAGGGTTCTTCGCGTCAGCCATGGATCGAAACGCAGATTCCATGGCTGCGGGCCTGCGGGACGACCTTATCCCAGGCCCTGGAGGTGGCTTTTTTTCTCTCGCTGGTGATGCACTCTCAAAGTGAGGGCGAATCCTCCTCTTTTGACATTCTTTCAGGCGAAAAGGCGGGGGGGCGTTATTCCTCGCTTTTAAATTGCGCGTGGATGACACCGAAGGAGGTCGAGACGTACGTCGCGGAGGTTTTGGTTGGGCTTCAGCGAAGCACCACCCGACAGCTCGCGCATCTTTGCGGGAGGGCCGATTTCGCGGACTTCACCGCCCTCCAAACGGGCGAAACTTTCCCCGGCGATGCGATTCTCCAGCGTCGTCGCGTTCAATCGATCGTATCGGTGGTCCACGGGCATGTTTTACATCCTTCTTTTCTTTGGATGCCTCTATGGCAGGTACAGGAGGTGGTTTGGATCGCCGAACAGCACCTCCACCTCCTTTTCCCCAACTCCCAGACTCCACCACGGGTGCCCTCCACGGCGGCCACCCTGACAAACGATGCCGGGGGCTCATTTGATGAAAACGACCTCGTCGTCGATCCTTTTTTGGCCGAACTTGACGACCGGCGGTCAATTTCTTTACAGACTGAGAATGAAAAAGAAAAAACGGAAAGGCATGACCCGAGCAGGATGGAATCTTCTTCGCCTTCACTGTTTGAAGGCGCTGGGGTCGTGGTAAAAGGGCGCCGGGTGAATTTGGGGAAGATGCACGGCTATCTTGTTCTTCGTCTATATACCCTCAGCAATGTCTTACGCAGCCTTCGCGATCTCCTCGGAGGGGATTCTTCTTTATCTTCTTCGTGTGAGCATGGGAAAAGAGGGCTGCTGGAGGCCGTCGCGAGGTTTGAGCCCCCAGCGGAGTCGAAAAAGCGCCGGGAGCGGGCCTGGGCGCGGCAGCTCGCGATGACGCTTCACGAGCAGTACCCAACCCTTCCCGCGGAAAGCGAAGGGGCCTTCTTTTATTACGGTAATGATATTTATAATATCAAACAGAGCGCCGCCTGCGTGGTATGGCGACTGGAGAATACTATTAGCCGCGCCCTCGCGAATCATTTGTTTTTCAACGTTTCTCGCTCCATCAAGGCTCGTCGTTCTCAAGGGCGACATCCACAGCAGATGATTCCTTCCACTCCTTCTCCCCTTTTGCAGGATACAATCCCGAAGAAAGAAAATGGAAAAGAAGAAAGAGAGAATGCTTGTCCTCGTCGTCTGAAGGTAGAGCTTTGCCGTTCACGCGGCGATGCCTCGCTTGGGTTTGTTCTTGACGCCTCCACTGCAGTGCTGCGGCGGGTCGTGGATGATTCCTTCTCCGAACTTTCCTCTTCTTTTTCGTCCTTAACCTCATCGCTTTCGCTTTCTCCGCATTTTTCATCGCCTTTAACACCTTTCCGTGTGGGAGTGCAAAACACGGGAGTGGAGAACGCGGAGGAGCTTCTTGGTTGGCGTGTAGTAGAGGTGGATGGGGATGGGGTCGCCACGGGGAAAGACGTCCTCCAGGCGATTAAAGGAAAACTGCAGTTTACTATGATGTTTGAGGAAACAGCGCGCTAACTAATAATAGCCAGAGGACAACTAAAGACAGGTGGCTGATATCTGAGACGAAGATGGAAAAAAGGAAGAAGGGGAGGGTTGATTTAAGGCAGATATTTTTATTCTCCCCTCTTTAATTTTAAGCGTCACGAGATCATTTTCGTGTATGCTTTAATAACGGAACGTATTCGAATCCATACACAACTTCTCATACAGCTTTTTATTCCTATGGATCCCCCTGATGCGATCTGACTCCCCCTAAAATAATAATAATGAAAGACCCCTTCCTATACTTTTTTTCTCCCCCCAGGAACCCCATTCATTCTAGTCTATTTCACTGCATGGATTCCACTGGTGGCATCCCCACCCATGCACGCCCCTGTTCCATCGCCGCCCTTGCCGGACCCAATGGCGGGGCGCTCCCCCACCGGCGACGCTGAG